ACATTCATATGTTTTTTTTTTAATTTTTTATGATATATTCAAATTTATATTTTATTCAAAAATAAAATCATTATTATTCTTTCTTAAAAATACATAAATTCGTATTATAACATCAATAGAGACAAAAAATTAAATAGAACATTAAAATTAAGATACATCTCACTACATTGCACGAATACCCTTCTAATTTAAAAGAAATCGTTGAAAATACTCTACAGGTTTAAAAAGATTTGACCAACTCAAAAAAGTTCACTTTGTTCCAATGCATTCCTTTAATTGATACGAATATGTACGGATTCCAATAAAAATTTACACAATTAAGCGAGGCTTAGAAAAGGGGTCAAAAAGTGAGTTACGGGCCATGACGGTAAACGACAGCTAGTTTATGGTCATGTCCAAGTTTGATCCTTTAGTTTTGAAAATTTACGTTATTTACCCTCAAGTTTGATGAATCAACAATTTACGATTTATTAATTGTAGTTTTATTTGATTGCGTAATTTTGTCGATATGACTTGTTAGGTTGGCTTAATTTTGTTTTAACGACTTATTTATTGTAACGCCTTTATATTAGTCTTATAGCTTAAAGTTTCATAAATTACCTATTAATACACCTTGGGGTCTTAAAAACCAATTTTTTTATAATGTTCGTAATAATACTGTGATTCGTGAAAGACTGTTTTTATTAAACGTTTTTTGAAAATTATGTCGTATCAGACTCCCAACCGTCATATGTACATAATATGAACAAGCAAATATATTGTCAACAGGTGTACGATAAATCCTTTTTCTTACGATATTGGAGACTTTCCCTTAAAGTCTAGTACATTTTCTATCACCAATTTGAAATCCATACCGAGAAGATTTAGTATCATAATCTTAGCGTTGTGGTCATACGTTATATAAGAATCAATGTGAACAAGTCGATCTACGATCAATAAAGTCAAGTTTTTTGTGACGATATTATTGATTGATGTCCTTTCACTGCAAAAAAAAATTGGTTTCATAAGACGTCTAAAATGTATAAGCGTCATAATAAAATACTTTATAAGACATAAATTTATAGAACCAAACCAGAAAACGTCTTATCTAAAAGTGTTCACTACAACAAAATTGGCTTTATAGGATACCTAAAATATCTAAGTGTCATGATAGAATACTTTATAAAATATAGGTTTATAGTACCAAACTATGAAACGTTATATCTAAAAGTGTTACACTAGGTTTGTAGAACGTTTCTAGGCATTTTAACAAGTTTTTAGAATGCTTTTAAAATAAAGTGTCTAATTAACTATTTTATATGACACTTTTAAGAAATGTTATATAAAGTTATCTTTTTATAAGACACTTGTGTTTATAGGACATATTTTGAAACAATGTTGTATAAAATAACTAATACGATTATTTTAAAGCGTTATAAAAAACTTGTTAAAACGCCAAAAACGTCCTATAAGCAGATGATCCCCTAACTTCCCTCGCGACCTAAGTCATCAGGAAAGTCGAGTAACTCATTGGATCGCAAAACAAGACCTCCGTGGGAAAAGCCGCACAACTCGCTAGAGTCGAGATAGAATGTCTCGAGATAACCATGCAACTTAAGTCGCGCGGCTAGTCGCCCGACGCTTCCTGAACATTTCCCAAAACTGCTCGATCTCCCTTTTAAAATGTTGCTTATATTATTAGCTTTATAATTAGCTTAGGGTAAGTTTATCTTTTATAAAACTTAGATTATAAATACAGTTTATTGCTTTCTTTGTTAATCAATTATCAATTCTCGTTATTAATGAAAGTTCTCCTTGAGAGTATTCTCGAGTTTTCTCAATAATTCTAGTTCTTATGCTTGTAAGTTCTAAACCCGTTAGAATTAGACGCTTGTCGTTTCCTACGACTTCATAATGAAATCAAATAAATAACAACTCAACAAGGATGAAACATGAAACTTAGGAGCCGTTTGCTAAACGTTTACCCTTACCGGATGAACATGACAAGGGTCAAAAATCTTATCCGGTAAGAACAATGTAAAGATGAAGAGTCTTACTCGGTAAGTGAGGGTGACAAATCGTACCTTGGTAAGTGCTTACCGGGTAAATTGTTGCATACGATACAATTTTGATGTACTACAATCTTACCCGGTAAAATAAATTATAGTGTTGACTCCTAACGATAAGCGTTTACCCGGTAAACATTTAGGTAAACGGCTCCATAGTTTAAACTTTAAAATTTTCATCAAACTTTATAAACAACAAATATGAAACTTGAAAGGTAGTTGCATAGTTGCATACATTCACTTTTAAATCAAATGGCGAAAGCCCGAAGGGAATAAGCCAATCAGGGTCATCGCTTGTCGTCTCGCCGACTGCCAATTGGTGGAGTTGTTAGCCGTTATCCCAAAGAGCAAAGTTCGACTTTGGAGAGACCAAGAGGCGAGAGGAGGTCGGTGATAGAGGGCGATTGAGAGACGACATACGAAAATGTAATTAAAATTTTTAAGAGATCAGGTTTTCAAAAAAGGAAAAACTAAAAAAATTAGAATATCAATACAAGTTCGGGTTTTGAGTCGGATAGTGTGGAGTTCGAACTTCGGGTGAGATCGAGTTGTTTGAGTTAGGGGTTCGAGTGACCATTGATGTTTTCGCTATGAAGTCGTCTCTTCCTTCATATAGTTGTTGCTAATTAATATTTTATATTGGTTATTTTGATTAAAAATTGATAAATATATATGATGTTATTAGTATGATTAAGAAAATATAAATATATAATTAATAGTTAAATAGAAAATTTTAAAAGGCTTAGAAGTTTTTTTCAGTATAAAATCTCATTAATTAAAGGCATGTTTGGAGCATATTTTCCTTAAAACAAATTCGCTACGGTTGAATTATAACGTTCTGAGTAAAATAATTTTTCCGTCGGATTTTACTTTTAAGCCTTTATATATATATATATATATGAGCTAATCAAATGAGAATTGTTTAGTTTGTGATAACCGTGAGATCCAACATGAACCAATCATTCAAGATAATTATTATGATTTCTTAAAATAAATAGAATGGTAAATTGGTAAATTGTGTTGACTATTCAATTTACTTTAATCGGTTTAATATTCTAATTTTGAAATAGACGTGTGTGTGTGTGTATTAGAATGAACGAGATCACCACCCGTGACCCTCTTTCCCCATCTCCGGCCAAAACGTGCTTACTCTCTGGTGCGACACTTTTACACCTATCCATTTGTCCAACATCGTCTGATGCCTCCTTCTCCGCCCATCTCCGGCCACCGCTGCTTCTTATTCTCTATCCATTTTCAACCACTAGCGATCATCTCCTCAACTCTCACTTTCACCGCTCCGACTCCCCCCCTGTTGAACAACACAAATCGGTTTGGGTTTTTCATATTCCAATAGATCTCGTTTCTACACACCCAGATCGGTTTCGATTTATGGTTTTTGTTCAGATCTCATTTCAGATCGGGGACGTAATCGGATCTTGCCGGAAATGTAACCTAGATATTGTTGGAGATGTAACGCATAAGATGTAAGGTTTTTGGATGTAACCTAGATCTCTTTAGAGATGTAACATCGAGTGTAATACAATGGTATCACAATTGTATTCATCAACCAAATCTGGTATCATAGTGTGTATCACGGTGTATTTTTGTCGTTATACGAAGTGTATCACAATATATTTTTTGTTGTTTTACGAAGTGTAACACAATATATCAGGCAATGTTGCTTTACTAAGTCTATCACACTGTGTCTTTTCGTTATTTTATGAAGCGTGTCACAGTGTGCATCATGTGTTTGCTGAACTAAGGTTCGCCGAAATAAGGTTCGCCGGAATAAAGTTCAACGAAAAGAGGAGAGAGGATATATAAGATTTTTAAAATACCTAAAATACCTTTTAGTTAAAATTGTAAGTCAAATTACCAAAATTATTATTTTCCCAATTTAATCATTAATTTGTGGTTGAAATTGAATCTCTTTTTAAATGATCCCTATATATATATATATATATATATATATATATAGGGTTGAGTTCACGTGAGACCAAAGGTTTTTCGTGAGACCCGTAAGACCAGTTTATGTTCATTGATCAACTTTATAAGTTAATGATCTAATGGTATAAAGTTGTACGGTGGCAATTTTGTGATTATTGAGAAGTCTCGTGGCAATTTTGTGATTATGAATGTTCAAATTGTAAATCTAATCCAAGGGTTAAGAATTGGTCTTACGGGTCTCACGAAAAACCTTTGGTCTCATATGATCCCAAGTCTA